GATTACTTTAGGATACAGGGAGTGTACTCTTCGTTATCAAAGATAAATACTCCTAAAATAGTTTATACAAATCCATTCAAAAATTATATTACTCCCAATATTATTTTACCCCCCGAGTTGATATTTTTGAACAGAATAAAAAGCAAACAATTTTATGATCTGTTGATCGCAGAGAAATATGAATGCCCAGTCAGTACGTTTAGACTAAAGAATAGATATGATGTTTCAGATACAGAATTGTTATTGGCTCGTTCAGGTATCATTTCAACTACAATTGATGTAATTTACAGAGAATTTCAGTTTGAGGTATTAAATAATATTCTGAATTTGAATTATAAACTGTATAAAATGAAAGTCATTAGTTCCCAATTATGTTCTTTTGTGACCTAGAAAATGAAACGATTGAACATTTTTTTTGGAAATGTACAATAGTACAATATTTTTAAAATCAGCTCGGAAAAGAGCTGACTATGCAGGCGCGGATCCAGGATTTTCCAATAGGGGGGGCCGGAAATTTGAAAATTGCGCAGACCGTTTTTTCAACTCAACATACCAATACTGACAAGGTCATATTAGAAGCACCATACCGGTACAATTTTTGACATTTTCATCGGGGGGGGGGGGGGAGGGGGAAGGGGGGCATAGCCTCTTGCCCGAAAAGTAATTTTCTGGTTTCACAATTCGAAATAGTGAGCGAAGCGACCGAGCAACAATTTGAGCTTAATATGTATTTTGTTAAAGTGTTATTTATTACCAAAATAAACTAGAAAAGATATCAAAAACTCATATTCGGGCAGCTTGCTATCCCCTCCCCCCCCCCCCCCCCCCCATTACGCGCGAAGCGCGGAAGCTTTGACCTTTCTTTAAATGTTAGAGAAAGAAGACGATTTGTTGTACCATTCTCGACTCTTAATCCTTGTCTGAATTCAGTTTCCTCCCGCCCGCGCGAAGCGCGGAAGCTTTGGCCTTTCATTAATATTATTAGAGAAAAAAAGAAGATTTGTTGTACCATTCTCGACTCTTAATCCTTGTTTGAATTCAGTTTTCCCCCTCCCGCGCGAAGCACGGAAACTTTGGCCTTTCGTAGTTTAATGAAATTATTAGAGAAAGATGATTCGTTGTTCCATTTTTCACTCTTAATCCTTTTCTGAATTGAGTTCCCCCCCCCCCTCCCCCTCCCGCGCGAAGCGCGGAAGCTTTGACGTTTTCTTTAATTATAAGGGAAAGGAGACGATTCTTTGTACTATTCTCGACTCTTAATCCTTGTCTGAATTCAGTTTTTCCCCGCCCGCGCGTAGCGCGTTAGCTATGACGGTTCATCAAATTATTAGAGGAAGAAGACGAATCGTTGTACCATTCTCGTCTCTTAATCCTTGTTTAAATTCAGTTTTCCCCCTCACGCGCAAAGCGCGAAAGCTTTAACGTTTCATTAACTATTAGAAAAATAAGAAGATTTGTTGTACCATTCTCGACTCTTATTACTTGACTAAAATCACCCCCCCCCCCTCCCTCCCACGCGAAGCACGGAAGCTTTGGCCTTTCATAGTTTAATGAAATTAATAGAGAAAGAAGACGATTCTTTGTACCGTCCTCGACTCCTTATCCTTGTCTGAATTGAATGCCCCCCCCCTCCCGCGCGAAGCGCGGAAGCTTTGACGTTTCATTAAATTATTAGAGAAAGAAGGTGATTCGTTGTACCGTTCACGACTCTTAATCCTTGTCTGAATTGAGTTCCCCCCCCCCCTTCCGCGCGAAGCGCGGAAGCTTTGTCGTTTCATTAAATTATAAGGGAAAGGAGACAATTCTTTGTACCATTCTCGACTCTTAACCCTTGTCTGAATTCAGTTTTTCCCCGCCCGCGCGTAGCGCGTAAGCTTTGACGTTTTATTACAATATTAGAGGAGGAAGACTAATCATTGTACCATTCTCGTCTCTTAATCCTTGTTTGAATTCAGTTTTCCCCCTCCCGCGGGAAGCGCGGAAGCTTTGACTTTTCATTAAATTACATCACAAATGACCTCAAACTCACCAGATTCATTCAGAAGATGATGCAGAACAGACGCTTCTTTGTCGAACTGGATGGGCAGAAGAGCAGATGGCGGAAACAGAAAAACGGTCTCCCCCAGGGTGGCGTCCTGGCGCCAACACTCTACAACATATACACTGCTGACATCCCTTCAACAGAGAACACTCGAAACTTCATCTATGCAGATGACACCTGCATCACAGCCCAGCATAGTACCTTCGAAGCTGTTGAACTCCATCTCAACACAGCGCTCGCAAGCCTTTCGGAGTACTACAGAGCAAACTACCTACGGGCAAACCCATCCAAGACTCAGGTGTGTGTTTTCCACTTGAAGAACAGGGAGGCAAAGAGAGAACTGAAGCTAAAGTGGAACAATGTGCAACTTAACCACTGCGAGCATCCAGTGTATTTAGGTGTAAAACTTGACCGCACTTTATCCTTCAAGAAACATATCGAGAAGACAATAGGCAAAGTAGAATCTCGAAATGCCATCATCGGGAAGCTAGTATCTTCACACTATGGCGCTGACCCCAAAACTGTACAAAGTGCAGCTGTTGCTCTATGCATGTCATCCGCAGAATATGCTTGCCCAGTTTGGAGCAGATCAGCCCATGTGAAGAAGCTTGACACCACACTCAATAACACATATCGAAAGATAACAGGATGTCTGAAACCAACAAAAGTTGAGGAGATATATCACCTCGCTGGCATTGGATCTCCTAACCAAAGGCGCACTAACACCTGCCTAAAGGAACGGATGAAGCAGGCGACAGATGACAGACACATGCTACACGGATACTTACAACCCCACAAACGACTTATATCCCGACACAGCTTCCTCGATTCTGTCCCACCACCTGAACAGAATCCTCCACCATCAGTCAAGCCCGTACTCATCAAAGGTCTTAACCTGAAGTGGCCGGAGTGGCAATGCCTAAATCGAATGCGGACGAGAATGGGACGGTGTAAGGTCAATATGGCAAGATGGGGCTATGCCCATGAAGGAGATACTCTCTGCGACTGCGGAGAGACTCAGACGATGGACCACCTCTTGCAGTGCGGCGGAACGGGTTGCACAGATGAAGACCTGTCCCTTGTTAATGAAACGGCCATTGCAGCAATCGAGCGATGGAAGAACTTAATTTAATTTAATTTACTTCTAAGTTAAGGAACTTTACATTACTATCTTGATCTAAGGAGACACGAACGAACGAACCATTCTCGTCTCTTAATCCTTGTTTGAATTCAGTTTTCCCCCTCCCGCGGGAAGCGCGGAAGCTTTGACTTTTCATTAAATCATTAGAGAAAGAAGATGATTCGTTGTTCCATTCTCGTCTCTTAGTCCTTGTTTGAATTCAGTTTCCTCCCCACCCGCGCATAGCGCGTAAACTTCTGACGTTTCATTAAATTATTAGACAAAGAAGACGATTCGTTTTACCATTCCTTGTCTGATTTCAGTTGCCCCCCCCCCCCTCCCGACCGAGCGAAACGCGGAAGCTTTGACATTTCATTAAACTATTAGAGAAAGAAGACGATTCGTTGTACCGTTCTCTATTTTCAATATTTTTTTTCTTTGTCTGCTCCTTTTTCGTCCTATGTCCTCTAACTGCCCCTACCGCTCCTGGCTACGCGCCTGCTTTAAAGGGAAAATGAAACAATCATGATTGTGATAGCACACAAAAAATCACGGCCGGGAGCGTCATATCATAGTTTTTTGTAATCGGGCGAGGGCCGGGGCGTAGCGACAAAGCGAGATTTTGCAATGTTGAAATTATGCATTCTAGAAAATTCCGCTATGTTTCTTTCTAGCTATATTTCTAAATTTCCTGGGGGACATGTCTCCCTATCGGGCCCAGGATTGCCGCCCCTGTCCATGATTACTACCAACATGAGTTCAAATACAAGCACAAGCGAGTTGGTATGAGCTGAATCCAAATGAAGGGCAAAATAAGAGTTATGAAGCGGCCCTACCGTTAATTTAAAATTTGACTGTTGAGTATATAGCTTTTTTTTAAAAGACATCACAAATATTGTGCCCTTTTCAAATTACTCACTAAAGAGTGATGACCTTTGTAGTGCAGGGGCTGTTTTTTACGTTTAACTTTGAATCCGCGGCTCGAGATTTTATGCGGCAGGCCCGGCCCCCTCTATTCAATAACGTTTGCCAAGCCTTCTGGAATGACCCCAAATCTCCCGATTCAAGTTTTCCCTTATCCGTCGCTACTGTCACTTAGCGCCATTTCCTTGTCTTTCCCCCTTTTTCACCGACTTTTCTCTCCCCCCCCCCACCCACTCAGTATAGGGTACGCACATGTATGTTCCCTCTCTTTGAAAGCACCCCTCTATCTCCGGTGTAAGTCAGTACGGGCCGGATTTTGTGTATTACGGGCCGGACTTTTTTGCGTGAAAAAAGTAACTCTTTATCGGAATTTTTGGGAACACAAATTCGGTCCCTCCGACCCCGGAGTGGGGGGAGGGGGGGGGGGGGGAGTTGGGCTTTCTTCTTTATCTTTCATTTTCACTTTTCTCTTCTCTTCCCTTTTCTTTTTCCTTCTCCTTTCTTTTCTCTTCTCCTTTCTTTCTTCTCCTCTTCTCCTTTTTTTTCCTCTTCTTTTCTTCCTCTTTTTTTTTTTTTTTTTTTTTGCGCCGCCAATAGGGGGGGCCGCGGCCGTTTCGGCCCCCCCCTGGATCCGCCACTGCTATGTTTTATTTCTCGATTTTAACCGAAAAAACGGTAATTCTTGGTATATTGTTGAAGAATTATATTCTTTTTAATCATATATTAATAATTGCAAAGAAAACAATTTACCTAAATAGATGCAATTAGTTAAACCAATATTTCTAACTTCATTTCCTTATTGATTAAATCGTATAAAATGGAGAGATACATTTCTATACGCAATGAGAAAAAAGCTGCCCATGGCAGCAGGTGGCAGGGTATGGCCCAATGGATATCTACTGTCAGATAAGAAAGATTTTTTGTTGTTGTTGATAGGTAAATAAGCTGTATAACGTTCAATGTATTATGTAATCAAATGTTCATTTTCACTGGTGCGTAAATCATTTGTCAAATCAATGTACTGTGAAGTGACCAAAAAATAAAAAAGACAATTTCAATAAAAAAAAAATAAAAAAAGACTATGCTTCCACTTCGACCTTTTTTGCAGAGATTTCCACCCAGTCCTTCAACGGTAAATATTACAATGATTCTCATATTTTTCTGTTACTGTCATAAAGTTTGGCGAGCTGCCAATCGACTAAAATAATTTTGTATCCTTCATCTGATGATATGAATAGGATTACATTTAAACTTGTGAGTAGACAGTTAAAGTAAATATAAACCATAAGCGTGATAAGGAGAAAGTGAAAGTTAAAGAAAAAAAAGCTCTCAAGGTCTCTTGATTTTTTAAAAACATTACTCAATGAAACCAAAAGTAATCAATCAATGACAACTGTCCTCTTCATCAATGAAGCCCATTTCGAACAATGACCAACACAACTTATTCATTTCACTTTCTTATGACGATATATATATATATTTACCTTACAACATTATAAGACGGATATATGTAGTGAAAATGTGTCCTGTTAACGATTGAACGAAAGAAGTGCTGCCCTCTACGTACTATTGCAAGCAGGGGAAACCTAAAGACCCCCAAGAAACAATTGGTTTAATCATTAGTCATTAGTTTAATTAGTAATATTTTTTTTAAATTAAGGGTTAGGGTTAGGGTCAGGGTCAGGGTTAGGGTTAGGGTTAATATACCAGTTTTTATGATGTCCGGTCAATGTACCATGTAGGGTTAACTAAACTGTATTCCTGTTAATGGAACTAGTTGGTATATATGAATATATATATATATATATATATATATATATATATATATATATATATATATAAACGCGCGTGTGTGTGTATGTGTGTGTGTGCGCGCGTGCGTGTGTGTGTGTCAGTGAGTTTGAGTAGATGGTTCATATATTTTCCTCTTCTCTGTTGACCTTCCGCTTTCTGCGAATCATCATCACTATATATATTTATTGACCATTTCATGTATGATTAGAACATCGATTCCAGCAGTGGTAAAGACGAATAATGAATAAATATCTATTTCATCACCAGTAAATGCTCTTATTGTCTGACACCCTATCAATGTGCTTCCTCACACAAGGATGCGTGTCCTTCATCAGTATTTTCAACAAAGCCCCTGTGAATAAAAAGCCCCAAAAAGGGAGCGTGTGATATGGACCCAGAAATTGTTGATGCATTAAAATCAAATTTGTTTGTAAATTTGTATAAATATATTAACCAAATTATATAAGGGAGAATTCACTTTCAATTATGTGCTGTAACTTGCTCAGAAGAAATAGTTTAAGCTTCAAATCTCAACTTCTTTAAATAAGTTATTCATCTGGCTCCTGATTCATGAATTTTCCCTTGGTGCACGAATCGATAAAATCACATTTAGCCTCGTTAAACAATATTACATTTACTTAACAGATCATGAAACAACAATTATGACCGACGGATATAACAACGAAGGAAATGGTAACTATCTGAATATTACAAAAAGATTAAATAATTTCATTAATGGCTTCATAATTCTAATGTAGATATTCAAAGAACAAAAAACATGGCTATTTATTATCATAAATAGGTCCTACAGTTCACTTCATTTTATATGGATATAAATATAGTTGGATCCCCAGCGCGTGTGAATTGAATTGTCGTAGGAAGATTTTTCAAGTTTTGGCCATATTGCTTGATATATGATATATATTGATCTATGATTCTTACTTTATATATATTCTCGCCATTGTCATATCTCTCATTATTAATTATTTACACAAAAAGTATACACCTACTTCAAAATAAAATTATACATACCGTAAATGCAATTTAAATGTTTGCAATGATCTTACTGGTTTTACATAGTGACACGTGCTTAGGGCGCATTTTATTGACATTGCTTATTTTCTATCCTAATGCATTATTAAATTGTTTTTTGTTGTTGTTCAATTACAATTGTTGTATCAATCCCAGATGATTGTACCTACATCTTATTACCAATACTGATCGGATCGACAGCGGTCTTATTTCTGGTTCTTCTTGCCGTGACGATTTGCTGGATCATCCCTCAGATTTGGAAGCACTTTTCAAGCAAACTTGGGAGTGATTCACAGGTAGGTTAGGGTCCTAAGGCAACAAAGGAACCCCAACATCATTATTTTTTAGAGAAGGAATGACATATGGAAATACCGGGGAACCATTTGTAGATATGCTCAAGGCGCCTGCAAAAAAAAATTCAATTAAAAGTTCCAATATTAATCGATGAAAGTATATAACAAAAACATGGCAAACGTAATTGTAAACAGCAAGCTTAAGGTGGGTCCTAAGTATGGCTCTGAAAGTTTGAAGAGAAAACGGTATTTTATTCCGTAGAGATGGAACTGCTGAGGCAAATTCCTGATATTTTTAGATGAATTAAGCCAGAAGGACATATGGAATAGGGTGTTAGAAGAGATGAAATATACTCAGGAGCCAGGTCATATTGTGCGCGATATGTATTTTGTACATTGTATGCTGTTAAGCAGGGAGCCAGTTAAGAGAGTTTTAGGATGGTACTGTTTGTCTATAAAATTATTCGTTTCTTTCATTTCTTAGGACGGTTCAGTTTTTCCATTTCGTATCCATGACCAACTCTTATTGATTTACTTATTCCTGCCACACTTTTGTTGGTAGGCCTATGTTTTGGGCAAGGTTGTTATATTACCCTCATGCCATATCAATTACCAGTTTGAAAATAACAAATAATGCGAAAACCAATTTCTTTCCAGATAATCCACACATACTTGGACATGAGAGGTCGCAGTCCTCAAGATGAAGAAAACGTGTCGGTAGCGTCAGTTATAGGCGGTGCCATGTCACCAGCTCTGACAAGGAATCATCCGCATGATACGGTAGGACAATTAGGTGAAAACCCGTCGAAAACCGATCGTAATACAATAATTTACGAGACCATTCCTTCAAGCAGTAATGACAGCAATGAAAGACACATTTGGGACATTGACGATTTTGGCTATGTTCTCCCGAATCCCTCGACCAATATGAAAGAAAATGTTACATTACTGCATGAAGAAGAAGAGCTCACTGGCATCAGCTGTAAAACTTTGCAGGATGAAGAAGGATACCTTATTCTGACAATGTGAATGTATGCTTGTCTATTATTGACAAGCATTGATTCTGGACCTGTAGGAAGAATAGAGCCATCGCATCAAAGGCTCTGATTAGAGCAATTCAGCTTTATCTTTGTAAACAATTGTATTTGTCTTGTCATTTGTATGTATATCGTGTTGTTTTATGGAAACAAAAGCCGAACCAAACCAAAACAATAATGAATAAGCGCCTTTAGAACCAATTGATTGGAATGGAAGTAATAACAGTAATTTAAGATTAAAATATAACAATTTCCATAACAGGTTTTGGCAAGTTGGTCTATTTATAGATTCATTAACCCACTTATCTATTTTCTTTTATTTAAAGGAACACGTTTCTTTTTGTTTTCTGGTAAACATTTTGTAGCAGCTTACATGATGATAATTGTTTAAACATATGTGTAGGACTATGTTTACATGCATCTGTACATATATTAGGACCTTTTCTTTTTACTTTTCCATCGTCTTTGAGTTTTCATTTCAAATGATAATTTGTGAAGAATTATGATTGAAAGGCATATATATTGAAAAGGGGGAAGTGTGAAATAGTGTCGCAGCCAAACACTCGTTACTAAGATTACAGTTTAACAAAGATGTATAGAACAATGGATTTCATTACTTATTCACAAATATAATCAGGCGTGGTCCTGATATTATCTTAGAATGACTGCATCGATTGAAGTTGTGATATTGTATTAGAGGTAGCATTGGACCATATCATCTCGATATTGAAACAAAAATCTAAGAAGCATGTTTTGATTTGTGTTGGATATAAATACAATTATCCCGAAAAGTTATCATCATGTCGTGGGGAATAACGAAACCATTGTAGAATAGATGTTGTAAGACGGTCGAATGAATATATTTCAGGTAAATTCGAATTTTATATTCCACTTTCTTGTTGCTGTTTGGCTATTTGTTTAAGAAGTAGTAAATTTTAAGTTAAATTACTGATTCATGATTTACTGACATTTGTTAGTTATTACTCATTTGTTTTTAAATTGTATGAAGAAAAAAAAATTATCTATGTAAAAACGACTTGAGGTATGGAATGATATACATGCAATTATATCACAAAAGTCTTTACCACTGTTCTTTGGATTAAAATTGGAAAAAAGTAAAATAATCTAAATCAAACTTTATTTCAGGATTTGTCGATACGTAAAACGAATTTCTTTATCATTCGAACAATATCAGTTCACTACAATTGAAATGTATTAGTAATTGGTTAATGTGATGAAAGGTAGTAGGGATGTTCATAAAACATCAAGTACCTTGGCATTCTAATGTCAAATAGTGTTATACGTGCCGTCATGCATGCAGTTCAGCTGCATGAAACTTATGCGGTACTCTGCATTATCCTCTTCTCTGTCTATTTTTTTTTTCTCTCTCTCTCCCCTCCATCATCTTTCTATTTTTTCCTTTTCACTATAATTTAATTTAATTTTGTTTAAAAAATTCAATCACAATAATCACAAGTTCCTTCATGCACCATCTTTCCTCTATGAGTCATACTAATATGTTTAAAAAAATGATATACATGTTTATATTTGATTACCCTGTTAAATATTAAGAGAAAATTACTGGATGAAATAAAAAGTTCAAATAAACATGTTGTAGTATTTTGTGCTTCATTTATCGCTTGTTTAATAATTAAATGTCATTTTTTTCTTCTCATTTTTATTTCCATAATTTCAATACATATTTACATTAATAACTCAATGATTGAGTGGAACATAACATAAGCTAATTATTGTTTGTATCTTTGAATATTTTAATAGACAAATAATTACATCACAACAGCAACAAACTTAAAATATATTACCCTATTTTGAACTCCAACAATTTCGTCCTGTCTTGTGGTTAGTATTTTCTACAACAAACTTTGTTGAATTATAGGCTCTGAGAAGTAGATAATATTAGGTTGTCGTTGAAATTTGGCTCATCTGAGAATTGGTTGAAGGTTGGGTACGAGCATGCATGTACGTGTATTACTGTTTGCAACTAAATGTAACAAGGATGACAACCTATAGAGACAACTTACAATTCAATTTATTATTTATCACTAAAATTGATCTATGCTGTTCATCGGCATTTAATATCTACAATTTCTCTCCTTGTAAGGCGTATGTCTTGCACTTTAGTACCGAATTATCATTAAAGACCTATGATAAGCAAAAATTCAATATCTTCTGTAGAAAGATGTTCAGCAATTTTTGTGTGTGGCTCTAGCCAGAAAGAAAGATTTTTTTTTTTTTAATTCTTAATTAATGTGACCATTTTTAGATACCAATTTCATCCAATCTCTGTAAGATTGAACAGGTGTTACAAAACAGGGGAAGGTGTAGAAAAGTTCACACCTTTGATGTCCTTTGGAGGAGTTCTGTTTAAATGGAAAAGTAAATACTATAGACGTTTGCATAATTCACACTCATCAACACCAGGATATAAATATTATTTGTAAAGGTGTTGAATAATCAATAGGTAATAGTGGCAGATTAAAAATGTATTATCTAAAATTAGCTGATTAAAAGATACGGACTTTTTACAAACATTGAACCTGATACCGCATCTGAATGTACAACAAACTTAAAGCACTATTTGAAATATTCTTGTAGTTATGTTCGTATATTAAACATATATTTGTATACACACGGTAAATTCAGTTGGGAAACCACTGGTTGGCTAGATATTAATAAATGATAAGGTTATTTTTAACCAATTTAGCTAAAGAGAGCTTGACCAGTTTGTTGCGATTATCTTTACATTATAATTGGGCATATAAATTTGTACCAACAGTACTTACTACTATTGGGTTGATATGCTGCCCAATATTAACATTCCATGTCATCAAGTTGGGTACAGTTTGATGGACAAGTAATAGTTGGTCAAAAATACCAGTGAGTAAATCTTATAGTTTACCCAATATGATGCAAGGAAAACCTATACCCAGACATTGGATAAAGATTGTATTAGAAGTTGCAGGTCGAACAGCCAAAATGCAAATATCAGTGGTAAATGTTTTGGCCTCAGGAAATTTAACATAACGTATATTGCCCAAATGTTTTACCGGGTAAGGCACTGTTTTTTTTTTTTTTTAACTATGACCAAATAGCTAAATGGCCCTTTGAGAGCCTGAAACTTTACAAAGATAAAGAATTAGAAATCAGTTACAACTTTTTTTTGTAGCATTGACCTAGGTTAACCTCCCATAGCTTAACAAACAAATGTCATCGTTGCTTTATGCGCATGAGGTATCCCTGAACAGCAAATTGTTTACGGAATTTCGTAACAAAATTGACTTGCCATTTTGGTAAGAGCTGAAAAAAATATATAGCCACAAACAATATGTCTATTGATGATTAATGAGCATGAGTGGATCTTAAAGAAACTTAACAGTAATCTAAATTAGTTTAGTTAGTTTATTAGTTTATTAGTTGCTCCAAGTGATTATATTTAAAGAAAATATAATTTCATTGTAGTAGCGCTTATATTAGAAATATACTCAAAATTTGAAAAAGTCGTCTCATTTTCCGTAAACAGTTTTGTAACGTCCGAAACAATTTTCAAGTTGAAGTAGCAGAAAATATATGAACAGCAGAATATATCTATCATAACATTTTGTTAACATCTCATGGCAGCTACCCACCAAAACAAAGAAATTTGCAATACATAACTTCAATACTATTTTATAGTTAAAACCAATTTTCCGTTAACAGTTGTAACGTCCGAAACAAATGTAACGTCCGAAACAAAAAATACCAATAAAATGATAATAATCCATATTTTAAGGTATCTAGAGTGAATAAATCATTATGAAATAAGTTATTATAAATCTTAAGACAAGTCAAAACACAAATCAGGTCTTTCAAATCCATTAATTTGTTGTATTCACAAGAATGGTGTTTCGGACGTTACACAATTTTATTGTTAACACAAAGTCGACAAATTTCACCTAATGTTCGATCATATCTGCAAGTTACCATTTCACAATGGACACTCCTGTTAAAAACACTATTTTGATGATTTTATTTAGATTTAAATATAAAAATGTGTAGAAATATGATGCCAAAAATCCAATAATCCGTAAAATATCTAAATTTTCTGCAAATTTGACTTATAAAACATAAAATATTGAAGCCACACTTTGTGATGCAAGGCATGGCTGGCTGCTTCAGTATATCCTTAATTGTAATTTATCAGAAAAAATCTCAACAAAAGTGACTCATAACAAATATTCAGCCACTTTAACAGCACTTTCTGTTATGCTGTTAGCACGTTTCGGATGTTACATTAAACTTTAACTAGTTCAAATGAGGGGCAATGATAGATGTGAGAATAGCAAATTTCAATAGTTCAACCTCTCCTTTTGCTATTTACATTGGTGTGTGTTTGCAAATCATGAGGTTTTCATTTGTATAGAGGTTGTTCCAAATGATGTCATATAACCAAAGATTGTATGGTCAATTTACACTATCTGGTAGGTTACAAAACTCAAAATCACACACTTAAGCAATACCCAGTGTACACAGTGTCATGACATGGATATGATACAGGTATATGAAGTTGATAAAATCAAGCAAATTAAAATGTTTTTCTAAAAATTTATGAGAAATATGTATTTTCATCTGAAAATACATTTTAAAAAGGGCACTCAGTACATGTAACTAATCTATGTAGAAAGGATTACTACTGCCATTATCCAAAACTGGAATTGGCGTTTACGCTTAATAATGATAACAATTTATCAAGCAATTTTATGAAATTGGCTTGCACACTACATGACACACTCATTGGTTACATACATGTACAATTGATGAGCACAAAGGCTTCCATTATAAAACAATAATCAGTAATCAGTATCCGATTCCTATTATAGAAACTTGTACAATATAATGTTCACATAGCTGTAGATCTGCCAAATTTCTAAATGACAAGAAAATGGATTACCAATTTGTGGGGTAATTAAAGCATGAACATGAAAATAAGGTGTGGCCTCTTCAAAATCAATTAATTCATAATTTGTTCCTTTCATTGGATGAATTACCCTCAAATGTACTAGCCTTATGTACAAATACTTTTCAAATGCTTGACCCTCATAACAAAATGTACATGTAAATGAACATTTCATGATCCTAAAGATATACCCTAGTATCTTCCTCAAATTTATGCAAAATTATCGGGATGTACAATGAATTAGGATTCCCATATTTCTTATTACTTAAATGGCTGGGGATACTTTTGTATACTTTTATTTGTTAAAAGTATTTTTGTAATGTTTTGCTTA